GCTGGCTCATTATGCAATTCGTGCCCACACAGCAAAATTGTCCAACTTAACAAGATCAATAACATTCATTTTCCTAAAGATTCATTCACCCAAATTGCAGAAAGATATTATATTTTACTTTCTGTTGCGGTATGTAAACATGCAATTTTGAAATATCAGTCTTCAGAATTCTTTCTACTGAAGAAATAGTCCTTTAGAAAACTGTTCAAAGTGGAGTAACCAAAACTGGAAAGACATATTGCTGTTTTTAAATGCTTTTAGGAGCACAAATGAAATTCAGTTCACTCCCATTATACTCGTGTGGCTCAACACATGAAAGTGAAACTAAATGCATGGCTAGATACTACTAGGGGAAAGTGAAAACTTTGGGGGTTTTTAGGGGGATTTGGGTAAGCCAAAAACATGTATGGGAAAATCATGCCAGTTTTTAGTTACGTAAAGAAAAATAGAAACGTAGAACTGAAAAGCTTGTTAAGGTGAACATTTTTGCAGTGTAGGTAAACACTTTCATCTGCCATATATGCCATGTTAATAACAGATGTTTAATAGCTAAAAGCAATGCAACTTTAGTAGCAGTGAAACCTGGTCAGGCAGTGAGACAGGCATAAAACGGGCAGAAGATGAAGACTTTATTGCGCTTTGACTAGCTTAGAGGTGAGAGTTTAATCCCACCTTTGGTAGACGTAACTCAAGACTCAAAGCTTTCATCCCGCTCATCTATTAGATATGCATTTGTGTCAGAGCTTCTTGAAAAACATTTTCTATATGACAAATGATCAATTAAATATTTTTTCATCAGCTTTGGTACACTGTAAATGATATTTCTTGAAATGGCCTCACACACAAAGCACATCTTTCACTGACTACAAAGAAAGACATATATTTGGTGTCTAAGGTTTGAAGAATGAGAGACATACTAGAGAATAAATATTTTGAAATATATACTTAGATATCTATATTTTTGGATGATGTAATTCTGATTTGGACTGTGCTTGAAACAGATCAGAAGGAGGCTTTGATGTGAACATGATCTTTAGACTTGCTCCACGGCTGCTTTGTATTTGAGCAGTTATTGAAACGCAAGCGTTTTTACTAATCAGCTGCAGTAAGCTTCATTATGATCAGCAACAAACTTTGTGGCGACAGTTGATTGACATACATGTAATCTATTAAGCATGATTATCAGGTGCATTCAGAGGATGAAGCAAGCTTTTGTACATGTGTTAATATTTACAGAGCTGAGTCTATATGTTAAACGCAGTCTTGGCTGCTTTGCATTTATTAAATATTAGAGAGGAGTTGTTTCTTGTTTTGTTTTTTATTGAATGTGAGAATCTGTTTTGTCATTTGGAAGATTCTGTTTCATTGTGAGTAGAGTGTTGCACCACAAAAGATACACTTAATATAGGATGCTGCCACAGAGATCCACCACAGATTGGAAACTGATGCTGTAACAAAGTGAACCATCTTACCACTGTATCTTCCTTTGGCAGATCTCTGTGGTCTCTAAAGTTGTTTTTTCTTTTTTGGCCTGGACTGAAACACGCAGGCAGGAGTGGGGGAAAAAAGAATACCTGATAACATGAAAAAAGGTACACCGTTTTAACGGTTCATGATCACTCCTTTACGCAGATCTTTGTACAAGGAACAATGATGGCATTACAAAGTGTTCTGTTATGGTGCCTGAGTATATTATTCGTTTTTTATTTGGCTTTTTAAAAAAGCTGATAGATTTGTCTGTCCAAATGTTTTGTTTGTTTGTTTGTTTGTTTGTTTATATCTGTTTATGTCAACCTTACAGAGCCTATAAAGAAAAAAATAAGCTAGCTTGAAATTTTTCCTTCATACAGAAAAAAGAAATACAAATGTTTACAATATGTAATTAACCAAATAGTAAATATGCGTTTGAGAATCAATCTGTCTGTCCCTCAAAGTGGCTGTGATAGATTGATTTATATTTCATTACTTCCTTTCATTTTAAACTTGAAAATGTTATGACTGCTTGTTCTGTTTTTTTTTTTCTGTTTCGGTTTGTTCCTCTTTTTTTCACTATGAGAACAGTGCTCCCTCAATTTCAAAATAATAACTTAACAGTATAGGTCAACAAGATACATTTTTCCATAATACATAGGTATTCATCAGTCTTTGTCATTCTTTACCTGCTGACTACTTCACCTTACACTGAGCCTTGTATATGCATAACTGAATCCTAACTTGAGACACTGTCGCATCTTTTGCTGTTTATATTACACACAGTTTGGTAGATTTCAGTGTGACTCTGCCAGGTGTTTTTCTGGTAAGAACTCTGTTCATAGAATTTATAGTGGGTGACTCCCACATGTTGTGAATAACAGTAAAAACACACCACAGGGTGAACATGCTTGATTACAATTTTAGTACACAAACAGTTGGAAATTCAGGTATAAGTATCAAGAGGCATCCAATTCTTCATTTTGCACTACACAGATGATGCTCAAATGAAAAGTGGAATCAGTTGCTCTGTTGGTTGGTTAACTAATTTTTAAGACCAAAATGTATCCACTATATGTAATCTCAGCTTGTGTGTGATTTCCATTTAAAAGATGATGACGTTAACTGCACTTTCATTTCCCCTTTTTTTGCCTGTATCAAATTCTCGGTCTGGACTTGGACCTGAAAGGTTTGATTATTCTGATGGAAATGTTTTCACTGGTGTACAGTAGTTCACATTCAAGACCCATCTTTGCACGTTGGAGAAAAGATTGTCAGTGATCCACTTGGCAACGGGCAACAATACAGAGAAACAACGATTTAAAACACACATCCACATTGTTACACTAATAACAAGTCAATGTGTCGTCTCCCTTTCCCTTTGACCTACCATGTTACCCAACAAGTTGCCTAGTGTATCACTGCCTCAGCAGCAGCAACAACAACAACAGATACATGGTTTTTAATACATAGTAAATAATGATGTGGTCTCTTTCTTTCAAAAACGGTGAATGGAAATGAATGGGGCAGTCAGATAAAGCTACTCTACACCAAAGTGCAATTGAACTCAGAGGGAGCACTGTTTCAGCCAGTAGATGCATATTGGTTGAGGTGTGCCCAACCCCTATGCACGAAAAGATGGTTATTCTTGTCTTCTCTTGTGTAATCCTCCCTCCGTTGGTCTGTCTTAATTCAGATGCGACGTTTCTTTCTTTCTCTCTCATGTACAGCTTGCTTCAGAGTTGTGTTTGTTCTCAGACAGGTACTCTTTCATCTGTACGATTCTTTCTTTAGGCTGATGCAATGATTTTAAAAGACAATAAAAGATATATGAAATGATGTCTGCTGCCTGTCTGGTTTTGTCTTATGCGCTCTTCTTGCTTCATGCTGTAATGATAAGCAAAGCATCACCTTATCACACTTTAATTTCTGGCTGACTTTTTAAGATGGTATCCCTCATTTGTTGCACATACTGAAAGTTATTTACTGGGAGGGAAAAACTGTTCAAAACTTAAAATGTATCAAATATGTCAAATCTGTAATTTACAGTGCTGTTCTCAAAATGAGTTTTTGTTTTACCATGAGATACAAACATAAACACAAGTATTCCTTCCTTCACCCTTGTTCAGTTTTAAGGGGTATGGTCTCCATTTTGTTTGTAACGTGTGCCCAAGTTTCAAATACCCATAGCTTTGCACAAAAACAAACTTCCCTTTATCTGTTTGTAAAGGAACTTCTTTGGTAAAAGCAGTTCTAATTAAAACTGTCTATAGTGAAGAATGTGGTGTAACCAGAATAACCAGGACATATGTTCTGGTATATCTAGGAAGATACGGCTGTTGACTTTTTGAACATATAATCTTTAATGCTGTAACAACCACAAATTAAATGCCATTCACTTCCATTATTGTAGGATGGATACATATACATGATAAGGGTATCTCAAAACTATTTATATATCACTTGAAAAGAGAATATGTGTTTGTAAGACCGTATAACCCACATTTCTGCACACTGTAGGTAAATATGGAAAAAGCAGACAAATGTTAAAGTAGCACAGATAGATTACAGTACTGTACTTTAAAAACAACTTAAGTTTTGTCTGTAAAACTCCAAGTCAAAACGCAGAGAAGCAGACAGGAAGCAGTGAATCATGCAGTCAAATAGGCATCCGTGTCTGTCTCTGTCCTGGTTTTTATATGAAATCTGTTAAAGACCATGTGAGAGTCACCAGTTGAAACCTGTAATAGTGTCCAAAGGTTTGTGATGTTGTGCTGCAGTGTGTGTTTCTTATGACTCTTCTTGAGCAAGACTTATGGACTGCGGGACTGAGCTGTGATATGACATTGCTTTATAAATAGCCAGGTGCCCAAGTCATGCCAAGAAGACTATCCAACAAAACAAGAAAAACAACAAACTAGGTGAACGGATCGCAAGACTGCAACTCCTACTAGAAATATTATTAATTTCCTCATTTATCTTTATCCTTGCAGGAACAGTTCCTAGAAAGGACCCCTTGACATACAGTAGCCTACAGGACAAGGTTAAGGTTTCTGCATTTTCAGAACAGACAGTGTATTGGAGTTTTTTAAATGTATTTAAGCAATATAACTCATAGCACAGTAGCTTAAAACCAATGCATGTTATGAAATTATTAAGTTTCATATTTAAATTTTTTACCCAGTTCCAAAAACTTTAAATTTCCAGCCCACCCCAACATGTGAAACAATGTGTTTTTTTAAAAGTATACCACATTGTCTCCTTCTGAGAAAACTTTAAATACCCAGGTGGAAAACTAGCAAAACCATTGTCAACTAAATGAACATTTGCATGAAGGCAAATCTACGACCACGCAAAAGTCATGACATTTTGACAGATTTCTGTAGAATCAGTTTCCCCTAAAACAGCAGCAGTCCTTGTGTCTCTCTGCAGGGATGTCTTCCAGTTACAAGTGACGCTGTCTTGATCATGTGAGCGAGATCCAATCAAAAAATCGGTGGCCTCCACGAGGAAGCGTCGGGTGCTGTATTTAAAGTTGCAGTGGACAACCGTCCGTAGGTCAGCGTTGTGTGGTTGTTGCTGCTACTCACTAACTTTGTTTTCGAGTGTCAAACAAAACCGCACTGCAACTGAAGATGAAGGTCCCCCTGCTGCTGATTCTGACCGTGTGGTTGAACACTCAGTACGGCTGCTGCGCTCTCTCTACATGCTCCCATCCTCCGTCACAGTGGTGCTCCTCTCTGGACTCAGCGATCCAGTGCGGGGTAAGATTATTGATCTAACAGGGAAGCGTTTTAGACCTTATCTTATTTAATGACCACAGGAAATTGTCTTTATCACTCTTTCTGAATGGCTGGGGTCTGTGACAATCACACCTTATAGTTCCGGGTCAACAGTTTACCGGTTTTATGAATAGACTGTATTTTCAGCGGTAGGTTATGCTTTTGTAGTCTGGACTCCTTGAGGAAGAAGTTAGGGGATTTTACAGAGCTGGGACTAACGCGCTCGGCTGTGGAACAATTTAGAGAAGGAGGAAGTAAAAAGGTCAAAAAAGTTACTTCCTTTGCCAGGTTATTGCATGTTATATGTCTTCTATTTATTATTTGTTTTATGACGTGTATTGACTACTGTTGCGAACCAAATTGCCCCTCGGGGACAGTAAAGGCTATCAAATAAAATAAAATAAAATCTCAGTAACATCTCCCACAGACACACACCAGAAAACAGAGACTCCATATCCTCCTGAGACCTAGAAGACAAAACGTTTTTAACTTTTGATATCCTTTACATAATTCCAGTAATTGAGATGCGAGAAACATGTCAAACAGATTTTTTAAAATGTTTTATCATATGTCCTTTCGTAGGAGACATCAGGTGTCTTGATGCAAAAAATACATTAAAAGTTAACAATTTGGCATTGATAAGAACATTTCATCAAGGAAAATTCATATTCATTTTAAGAAACAAATCACTACCTAAAAAATATTACTACCCCAAATAAGGTGACGATCTGAAACTAAGGATGAGTCAGTACACATACAGTGTGATGAACACATCATGCATGGTTAATCAGAAGTCAATTCTTGTATTTGAGACACAAAGAAACATGCTGCATCTGCAAATATTTTCTGCCTGTTTAAGAACGGGGCATGCTTAGTTGCAAACTCTCTATTGAAATTTGAAATTTACCACTGACCCTGAGGTCTACTTAAATTGCCACCAAATGGGAAATAGCCTGACCTTGCTTTGGCACACACTCAAAGGGAAACGAGGAGAGCAATAAGGTGAAAGTTAACCTCAACACTTTTGCCCCCTTGTGCAGGTTTTGAAGCAGTGCCTTGAATCTAACTTCACGCGGTCCCGCCAGACTGTAGATGCAGTCGACGTGGGGCTTTACTATGAGAGTCTCTGTCCTGGCTGCAGATTGTTTCTCAGTAACATGCTCTTCCCTACCTGGGTCTTGCTGAATGACATCATGACTGTCACTCTGGTGCCATATGGCAATGCGCAGGTAAGCAGCAAACCAAACACCTTGGGTATACACTGGGATCGTAGTTCCTCTATACACTCACCTAAAGGATTATCAGGAACACCATACTAATACTGTGTTTGACCCCCTATCGCCTTCAGAACTGCCTTAATTCTACGTGGCATTGATTCAACAAGGTGCTGCAAGCATTCTTTAGAAATGTTGGCCCATATTGATGGATAGCATCTTGCAGTTGATGGAGATTTGTGGGATGCACATCCAGGGCACGAAGCTCCCGTTCCACCACATCCCAAAGATGCTCTATTGGGTTGAGATCTGGTGACTGTGGGGGCCATTTTAGTACAGTGAACTCAATGTCATGTTCAAGAAACCAATTTGAAATGATTCGAGCTTTGTGACATGGTGCATTATCCTGCTGGAAGTAGCCATCAGAGGATGGGTACATGGTGGCCATAAAGGGATGGACATGGTCAGAAATAATGCTCAGGTAGGTCGTGGCATTTAAACGATGCCCAACTGGCACTAAGGGGCCTAAAGTGTGCCAAGAAAACATCCCCCACACCATTACACCATTACACCACCACCACCAGCCTGCACAGTGGTAACAAGGCATGATGGATCCATGTTCTCATTCTGTTTACGCCAAATTCTGACTCTACCATCTGAAGGTCTCAACAGAAATCGAGATTCATCAGACCAGGCAACATCTTTCTTCACAAATGCTTTGCTGCATACCTCGGTTGTAACGAGTGGTTATTTCAGTCAAAGTTGCTCTTCTATCAGCTTGAATCAGTCGGCCCATTCTCCTCTGACCTCTAGCATCAACAAGGCATTTTCGCCCACAGGACTGCCGCATACTGGATGTTGTTCCCTTTTCACACCATTCTTTGTAAACCCTAGAAATGGTTGTGCGTGAAAATCCCAGTAACTGAGCAGATTGTGAAATACTCAGACCGGCCTGTCTGGCACCAACAACCATGCCACGCTCAAAATTGCTTAAATCACCTTTCTTTCCCGTTCTGAAATTCAGTTTGGAGTTCAGGTGATTGTCTTGACCAGGACCACACCCCTACATGCATTGAAGCAACTGCCATGTGATTGGTTGATTAGATAATTGCATTAATGAGAAATTGAACAGGTGTTCCTAATAATCCTTTAGGTGAGTGTACATTACAGAGTTGGTAATGGTGTTGTCTTCAAAAGAGATGTGATTATTTTTACTAAAAAAAAAAAAAAATGAGGCAGGAGAAGGAATATTGATACAAAAAAAAGCCTCTGTTGTCAAGAGTTTATTTCTCTTTTTAACTTTACTGTCAAGAAAGGGATAGTCACGTGACATATGTCATCTTGGCTGTAAAATTACTTTTAGTTATATATATTTTTTTAATTATATATTTTTTTAGCTCATGAATTTGTTGAATTTACCCCAACCCAGGAGAAACCTGCCGAAAAGAAATATACTTACGAGTGCCAGCATGGAGAGCAGGAGTGCCTGGGCAACATGATTGAGGTAAAGTTAGAAACACACAAAGAGAGAGAGAACCGCTGAATAATACTATTAACTACAATTTGGAACCATGTAATGTGTAAATATACTACTCATCATCATGCAGCATGGATTCTTGTAAATCGGGTTGTTAAAGTGCCATAATTGGCAATTGATCTTCAAATTGCTTTGATTTATTTTGTTTTTATAGTTATAGTAGTTACACATGAGATTAGTATTGTCTTGTAGTAGTGTCACAATGTGGACAGTTTACTTTGATTGATTGATTTCCCTGTTCCTCTCAGACCTGTTTACTGAACATGACCAAGATGGCTTTCCCGATCATCTTCTGTATGGAATCCTCCGGTGATGTCATCAAGGAAGCCAAGACCGTAAGGAACTGTGTGGTTGTGGGTGTGTGCGTGCATTTACCCAGTTATAGGGCTGCTGTCTGTTGGGTCACTGCCACTTCCCCAACTTATTATTGAAGTGTGTTTGTTCCATCCATTGCTGTTATAGTGTGTGGAACTCTACGGCGAACCTGACTTGACCTGGGGCAGCATCATGAGCTGTGTAAATGGCGACCTGGGAAACCAGCTGATGCATCAGAATGCCTTGAAAACCAACGCCCTGAAACCTTCACACCAATATGTGCCCTGGGTGACCATTAATGGGGTAAGGCTCCTGTGCATTAAGCGGCACAACCTATAGCCTCTGTAGCTGACACTATAAAGCTTCAGCCCTGAATAAAAAAAATAGAGATGCCCCTATTCTGCCACTGTTGTTGATGCTGGCTTTTTTAATAAGTGATGCTACATTTACTGTGATTATGTGATCATTTTAACATTTGATTCTGCCCCAAAAACGTCTATTTGTAAGTGAAAGAGAGCTGTGACTGATGTGTGTGTGTGTGGAGCTACATCTTGATGCAAATCCAAAGCGCACAGCACAACAGACACTACTGTCTCTCTGCCAAGCAACCTGAGAACAGTAGCATGATCACTTGAAACTGGAGTTTGCTCTCAAGCAACTGATAATAAACAGAGGGAAGAAAGCATGCAAGCAAGCATCAGGCAGCAGAGAAGAGATGATTACTGTGTGGGGAACTTTATTTTTAACTTGGGTTTGTGAAGTAAGGGCTTGAACAGAAAATAATATAAAAAGCAATTTTAAAGTACCTAAATGTATCAATACTGTCATATGTAAAACGTTAAATGATTTGTATTTTATCTCTCTGTGGTATTCATGAAAATATCCTCACATTTGCTTAGAATCCTACATGAAGGTAATTATCATGTTGGACTGGGGGAAAATCACAAGCAACAGTCTTGGCACCAAGGGGTGCCCCTGATAAGCGGCCTCAGATTTCTTGACCATTACATAACCATTTAGAAAAATCTGACTGACTGATAAAATGGCATATCAAAATCTATCTGGTCAGACTTTGGCTCTATCCTAGTAGGGTCACAAATGTCTCATCAGATCATGAGAACTTTCGGTTTTCTTTTAAATTAACTTGTGCTGCATACAGCCAATGAGTCATCTTTGTGACAGTCTTAATACCGTCTTTGTAATGCTTAATGTCCCTTCTTTAATATGAGTCAGTTACCAACACTTTGGCCTCTTTTTACATCATGTCTGACAGCCAATGAATGCTATTTTTAAATAACTAAATAAATAATAGTGATTGTCATATATCTCTAAAAGCTGACACATACTACTAAACAAACTCACATTTATGTTGTGTAGGTGACACACTTAAAAAAACAAAAAGTAAACGGTGTGCCCACATCTTCTGCCTAAATGCTACTTGTTGCCATAGCCTTTGCGATACTGTTTTTATTTACTTTCCAGGAGCACACAGAAGACCTGCAGAACAAGGCCATGTCTTCTCTCTTCAGTCTGGTCTGCAGTATGTACAAGGTACAGTTAATGTCTGAGTCATTCATTGACTCTGTGTTCTGCCTTTTCTTTTAATACAACTGTACAGCATGTGTGTATGTGTTTTTCTATAAAAGCACAAGTGGTTTCTAATTTGTTGTTTGCTTGGATCTTGACTTTTGAACTCCTAACAAGCTCTTAATTTTTTTTCTAGGGCCCCAAGACTGAGGCCTGTGGAGGGGGCCAGAGACACTATAAAAGCTACTGCCACAATGATTGAAGGAGCAGCGCTGCATGTTCTTGCTCGGTTCGAGGTGTGGCCACTAAATAAGGAACACTGAGGAATGCCGTCCAATATTATTTTTTTTTTAATGTGATTTTATTATCTGTTTCTATAAAGGGAAAAATTGATTGCCTCACTTTATAATGCGCAGAATATAAATACAATTTACTTTCCAAAAACAAAAGTGTCAGTAGTGAAATGTTTTTTGTAGCAGTGTGACTCAATGATAGCTCTCTGGTTTTTGCAGTGTCCTTTGCAAAGTCTGGCCAAAGACAGTGTTCTCATTGTCCTTTAGATGGCACCGTATCTCAAAACCTCATCTTCAGTCCCCTGTTACCAGAGGTAATAAAAGCGAGGAACAAACAGCATGTACTTGGAGGTTAGAGAAAGAACTGTTAATCCCATTATATTACTGCCATAAAATGTTCGATTTATTTAGCAGATTCCTTACCTCTGAAACCAGTGTAGTCTTCCCTATTAACACAGTAGATTTAATGTTCAATAATGTTATTAAAAACATGTTAACAGTTTGGTTTGCTTTTTAACATTGACAGAGATTATAACTAAAGACACCATGAGTTTGAAAGTTTCCATGAGTCGCAGCTTAAGTTATATTTTATGTTTTGTATTTGGTTTTTAAACCTGTGTTCATGTGGATGTGCAGCAACAAATGAACAAAAGTTCACAACATGTCCTGAGGATCATACTGAATGTTTAACATGGACTCAAATCCTGGTGCAAATAGTAGTCTATCCAAAGATGCAGTTACATTGTAGATAAAAGTTACATGGACAGACTCTAGGCAGCTGCTTCATGAAAGCCAGAGTCTTGCCTAACCAGAAGGTCTGGATGCATAAGGTCCACTGATAGACACACATGAAGAATTGCATGTCATGCAGGCAGCTCCACCACCTCAATCTCACTAACCGCTAACCTCTGCAGGCTCCATTTCCTTTGTCATATCTGCTCCTCGGGCAAATTCTTGACTTTTTCTAAATATTCGTGGCTTTTGTTTAGTTAGGTTACAGTGTAAAAAGGGCCCCAGTAGAGGGTTAAGATGCTTACTCAAAAGTGCTAAGAAAGACAGAAGTTAATAACTGAAGGAATGACAGCTGAGGCTTTATGAAGAGGCGGGGAAAATAGTTCTTTACTGAGTCCAAGGAAGTTTTTGTGTCACAGACTACTTCACATCTGATCTTAAATGTGGTATCTGTATCCTCCTCTTTGGCATTTCCTTCCCGATTGTCTAGTTCCCATGGTGCGGTAGCTGAAAGTATGAGGACAAATAACTCGTCAAAAATTTTCAACTTCACCAAGGTAAGGGTATTAATGAACATTTAATAAATACTGAAAAGGAAAATGTTAGTAAGTTAAATTACATGCTTTTTCAGAACTCAAATAAAAACAAAACATTAACTAGCTTATAGTACCAAAGAAATTGATGACACATTGGTCGTGTGATTTACCTAATGTTGCCTACTTGTGGATTACATAATAACCATAACATGTATTATTATTATTATTATTAGGGCTGGGCAAGTTAATGCTTTATTATCGTGTTAACGTATTAATTAGGCTAATTAATGCCGACAATTATTTTATCACATGATAATGCAGTTTTTATTATTATTTTGAAAGTCCGTTGCTCTGGCTCTGAATACACATACAGTCAAACCATGGGTCACAGGAGGGGTGGGATGTTGATCAGTCTGCAAATCACCCACCCAAACAAGCAGTGGAGGGAGGCTTCGGGAGACTACGCTGGATGAAGCGTGTGGGAGAAGTAGATAAACAAAAGCAAGACAAGCGATCAAATGTCATAGCGAAGTGGATAGCTACACACTGCATGCTGATTAGTAAAACTCATGAACAGCGAGGATCAGTCTCTCTTCCAATGATTTGTGCTGCGTGTAGCGTACAAAAAGTTAAAGACAATTAGACTTTGGCAGTGGGCAGGCCTGTGCATGAGGCGACCACTTCACCTCACTCTAACAGGACACTTGCTACTGAACAGACTGTTTATGCTGCTCCCTGATAAAAGAAAAAGGTTTCTGCTGATACCTGTTCAGAAAAAAATAAACAAGAAAACAGATTTATACATGTTAACCTGTTGCTCAGAAGGTGCCTGTTATGATCATGGTTCTGGACTCTAACTTGTTTTAAAAAGCTGGATAAAAGGTAATGCCCTGGCAGTGTTAAATAGCTTCGGTTTTATATTTGACTTGATTACACTAATGTTTAAGTTAAGATTTACTAGAAATATTTTATTGCTATTGTGTAAAGGGAATACTGCTAGTAAAAAGCACCTTATTTGTTGAAAGTGTTATACGGTTTGGGAGCCCATTCAAAGGCCATTTTAAACTGACATACATAATCTACCAGGCATTGTATGTGTCTTGCTCAGCTTGGTCAGATATGGTCAACAATCAAACCAACAAAAGAGTGTGTTGACAATTGCTCATGGAAAGGTAGAACTTCCTGGCAGATAAAGAGTTAAAGTCACGGGATGCAGCAGAAAACAAGGGCTCCTATCTGTCTCCACTCAACACTGACGCTGAAAGAAAGATGCCCTAAGAGCTAAATCCCAAACACTATCTCACTCTGAGAACCATCTATTGTGTCCAAGGTGATACTGTGTGTGTCTCAGGACCTGAAATCAGATAAACCTTCCAAAAATAATACCCGAGTGGGCTTTTCTGCGAGGCTTGTCATATTTTCGGCAACAGCACAAAAACAGCCCTGTCTGCAACTTACCTTTAGATCTCAGCGAATGGTCTGTTTTATTTCATACTATCTCTCAAGTTCAGCAAAGGTCAAGCTTTACCTTGTCTAAGCTACTGATTTCTCAGTTGTTTAATTGTATAATTATGAAAGTGAATGTGAATATTCACTTTCCACTCTCAATAAAGAAAGCTCTGTTGGGTGTGATTACCTGTGTTTCCAGTCCTTCAAATGTTGAATTTGATGGGTACAAGCCAAACCTCTGATGTGTAAATCTGAATAGCTGAATCAATGAAAACAATTTCTCACTCAACTTTTCCATGAACATGAACATGTTCTGTAATTTACTGTCTATGGATTTCACATATCGTCATGCCATCACAGTCTTTATTCACTAGTTTGACAACCAGAAGCATCTGATCTACAAATGTAATCCAACTGGCTGCATGAAATGACTGCAGTTTCCTCTCATTGCTCATCTCAGTTCTGTCACATTCTGGTCTTTGTTTGACAGTGGGACTCTTCAAAGCAGGCCACCTGCATAAAGCTTCTCCAGGACCCTGACGTTAGATATGCTGGCAGGCACCCTGCAGCTGCCCAGGCTGCCAGAGGATGGGCCCCAGTTCGGCCCCTCAGCTCGCAGAATCAAGCACTCCAGGAGCCTGGGGACCCTGACCAGCTGCATCTCCAGAGCCTTGTGAGTCCCTCCAACTCCTTTCAGCAAGCTCACAATAATATGTGGTCAGTTAATAACCATCGTGTGTATCTCCAGCATGTGGCGGTCAACACACATTCAGGATAACTTGGCAACACCATCTTCCAGCTCCTTTGCAACGTTTCCTGTAAATATTGTGTAATTAGCAGAGCATACTGATTTATTTGTTGCCTAACTGCTTAATTTAGGTAGAAAAGGCTGACTTGCTTCTTGAGCATATGATCCAACAAAGGCTTAAGGCGTTGTTATTCCGTCTGTGATACTGGGGAATAATTATCACTATAAAAGATCAGACAAACAAGGCTCTTGTGATTGTTTCCACAACAACATTCAAGCTGCAAACACATCTGTCGCATTTCTGTCTCTATGCGTGTACATGCTAAATGTATGTGTGTGTGTAATACACTTTTGTTCTCCTTTTTCACATGTCGAAGGAATGCAGACCAGTTCCCAACCGCACAAAAATACAAAAAAAATGCTAGGAGGAAAACTAGGAGAAATAAATCTGCCTTCACAATGTAAAAATGCCTCGTTAATAATAATGAACAAATTTCCTTTTCAATTATAATTAAATTCCTCCTCTATAATAAACAAAAGCCTCTTTGTATAAGGAAACTATTAATAAGGAAACTGAAATATTGTTTATTTACCCTCCTTTAAAGTTTCCCCAAATGAAATAGACTAAAGGAAATGTGTATAAAGGAGGTTTAAGTGAAAATAAACAAAGTAAAGCCTGCAGGCGCTAGGCTATCGCTAGACAAGCAAAAACTCTTGTACGAATAGCACAAGATTTGTCCCACTGCGGTTAACCTAATTGAAAGGTGATTTTTAAAATATTCATTCAAACTAGGGTCCAGACTGCTCAAAATCACCCTCAAACATACCCAAATTTTTAGCTGATAATACCTGCTAAACTGAGGTCTTCAGTAAGTCGAGGAAGGATCAGAATGACAATTCCCCACCTAAAGCCCTAAGAATGCATGGAGCTGCTCTCAGTTACTACTTAGGCACCGGTACCCACACCCTGCTCTGGAACAGGTGATCTAAATAACCCTCCAATAAAATCAGAGGAATTTTGACATTCGGCCAAAACAAGAAAAGGGAAATTACTGCAAGCACCAGAGAAAAGATGGCTGCTGCAGACAGACAGGTTTGATTACATAGGTAGTTGTAGTGCATGTCAGAGGTGATCAGATATGGCTGTACTTGATATGACAAAGACACAGATGAAAACGAGTTTACCTTATTTTAGTAACAAGACAAATATACACAAATAACCGATTAAACTCAATAATTTTAAACTAAAGTTTTATGGACATCGGGGATAACCAATTTATATTTGTCTACACAATTCACATTTTACAACAATGATTTTGCCTTTGCACTCTCTTATTTAGACGCAGTAAACTGTGTTTCTGAAACCAGTCCACTGCCATTCTCTTCAAGAGAGTACAGTATGTATGTAGACACAGCATGTAATGTCAAAGCAAACACACTGGCATGCATATTCATCACATTGAATGTGCCAAACCTCTGCAGATGAGGCACTGGAAAAAAAATTCATATGTTGTGATGGTTAGGCTATATTTATTCCATTTGTTTTTATATACCGGCAGGTATAAGCAACAATGGCATAGACATGACTACTGTGATGTTGATGGACTAAAAAGCCTTTCATTGTGTTCCTTCTGTGTGAAGAGGGCCATGTGATTGTCTGTTTACAAGTTGGCAGTGCAGTTTTGA